GAAAGGTACAAATATTTTTTGGTATTCTACTTCTGAAATGGCTGATTTTCTAGTATTCTTGTTCCTAATTTCTTGCCCACAACATTTCCCAGTTCATTATATTCATTAACACACTGTTTGTTGAAGGATCACAGTATATTCTCCTGTATATCAGATAGTTGTTTATCGTAATATCGTTGCTGTTTTGTCAATTTTTAACCACTCTTTTTGTCAACATGGTCACAGATTTGTATCTAGATTAATTGAGGACGGCAAATTTAGGAGCTTGAAACAAGACACTCCATGCTTTGACCTCCCGGAGTTCATAAATTTGGTCAACTTGGATACTCAAAATGTAATGACCCATTAGGTCATTTTTAGAATTTTCATGAAATTTACCGTTTTGTCCCTCCCGACTTTTAACCCAGAGTTATTCTTGATTGAGTTTTGAAAGTTGGTTTCAAGCCTTGAGTAAAAAGTTTATATTTTGGCTAGTTTTGAGTGTGAAAGGCTAAGTTGCTTAAAAAGTGGTTTTTGATGTCATTCAAGGTTCGGATGCTTGGATCGGAATTCCGGAGGTTTTGTTGGATTTGGAGGATGATTTTAGGCGTTGTGTTGTTTCTTGTCGTGTTTTGAAGGTTCCATTGAGTCCGGAATGTCGAGTATAATTGATATGCATATATGGTTTGTGTTTACGGGGGTTCCAACGAATCCCAAGGGTCTTGTCAATGTTTTTAGACTTGGATATGTTTGGTGGTGTCTGCAGGCCTCGCTTTTGCGAAGGTCAATCTCTTTAGCGACCTTCGCAGAAGTGAGAGCCTCTTCGCTTAAGCGAACGTCGCGAAAGCTAAGGGGACTTCGCTTTTGCGACATCAGAGAGGGGGTTTTGACCTACAATTTTGAGGTTTAAGCTTCATTTTTCATTTTTGAGCTTGGGAAATCCTTGGAGGCAATTTTTGAAGAGTTTTTTTTTGTGCTAAATCATTGGGTAAGCTCTTGTAACCCTAAAATCTCATTTCCCTTTGATTATTTATGGATTCTAACATCATAGTTTGGGACTTTTATTTGGAAAATGACAAGATTTCGCAAGAACTTGAGTTTTAATCTAAAATGGGGATTTTGAAGTGATTTTAAATCCTTTTTCAAACTGGTTCTCACGAATGAGGTCCTAAAGCCTTAAGTAACATTTTCAAGTGTTGATTTTCGGATTGAAACCCTATTTTTGAAATTGGATTTTGAGTTGATTGACTCATTTCTTCAAAGAAACTGATGTGGGTGTTGTTGTTTCCGGAGAGTGATTGTGAATACTTGATTGTTATAGATTATGTGACTTTGAAAGTGATTCAGAGAAAAATGGTGGTCAAATACCCGCCCCCCCCCCCCCCCCCCATCTATATTTAGATTTTTCAACTACATACTTAGACATTACCCCCAAACTACTTTAAAATGGAATAAATAACCTCTTAAAACGTGATAATTGGCCATCTGCCTTGTGGTGAAACACATGCACTTGGCACGTGTGTTTCACCAATTAATCTTTTTTTTTAAAGTTTTCTCTCCTTCTTCTTCAATCTTTTTGCAGCCCTAATTTTTTTTGTGTGTGAAAGCTTGATTTGGGAAAAATATTAGGGAATACATTGAGGATCTTCTTCTATTTTTTTTTTATCTTCCTCACAAACTTAATTCGTTGGGCCTCCATCTTTTTCACCATTGTCGTCTGAGAAATCGTCGTCACCACCTCCACCTCCATCTTTATCACCTCCCTAATTTAACAGCAATAATTCAACACCCTAACATATCTTTATCATCTTCATTTATAATATCTCTCAGTTGTTCAAGATTTCCAATCCCATTAGTTTCATCATCTCCACCATTCTCATAATTTTTTTTCCTCCTCTAATTCTTTCTATTTAAGATCTTTATCTGGGGTTTTTTGTAAACTCATTACCTAGCTAATCTATCAATAGGGGATTCAAATCTTTTCTCCCTAACTTCACAACTTGTTGCAGATTTTGTTCCTTCAATGATTTTTCTTCCAATTTTTTCACTTTCGATTTACTTGATAAATCAATCATAGCAGATCAGAATTAAATAATATAAACACTTGAAAAGCATGCTTAATTTGAACACTTTTGTTTTGATAGTCCTATTTGATGATTTCTTTAATTTGTTGGAGAAAATTCGATGATAATGGCAGCGGTAGGTTAGGGATGGAAATAGTGAAAGAGTACCCTTGACTCTTGAAATAAACCCAGGTTAAGTGGAAATAGTGAATGAGTACCCTTGACGCTTGAAATAAAGTCAAATCATTTTTTCTCAAATTTAATCCAAAATCTTTGAGAATGATATAAATATATGTAAATTTATCTACAGTTTATTGGGGTTGATTGATTTTGCAAGAGTACTATATGAGTTCGAAAATTTGTTTGGAATCAACAATAATGAATTCGGTAAAAATGGCGGTGGTAGCACCGATTTAGAGGTGGTGAATAATGGAGAGATTTGATTTATATTGTTATGGAGAAGAAAGAAAATAAATAAGAAAAATAAATAATTAAAGTACATATATTTATTGAAAAGAGATATTAAAAATAAAGTTTTAGTAATAGCTTTTGATGTGGAAAATTTTTATTATGTATGAGGCATATATATGACGTGGCAGACATAAAAATAAAAAAATTAAAAAAGGTGAGGGGTCTTAAAGATAGCTAGCGGATGGGTCCTAGCCATGTCCACTTGTCAATCAAATGATGTCTCATACAAGTATGACTTGGCGTACCTCATGCATGATAAAGTAGGAAGGTCTATAAAATTAAGATGAGGAAATACATAATTACCCCATGGAACTTATACCTTTTTTTAAGTAGACACATTAACTTTATGGGGGTCCTATTATCCCACGAAACCATCCAAAAGCACAACAAATACATCACTTTTTCACCATTAGTGCTCTCAATCCAAGAGCGTGTGCCACACCTCCAACCCATTTAACAAAGGCCGGGTTTTATCCTAACCCATTCATTTTTTAACCCATAACCCAAACCCTAAGAAATTTCCAACCCATTTCACTTTCACCTACCCTCATCTCTCTCTTTGACCGATCAAAACCCTAAGAAACTTCATGAGGCGAAGCTAGTTGGTAACATTGCTGGTTGAAATTTGTTGAATAGTGGTGTCGGAACGAAGAAGTGAAGGCTCATAGGTTAGTTATTTGAAAAATCTTTGAGAAAAAGTTTATTTTACATTGTAAGTGAATTTTGTAGTGATTAGTCGTTAGTTTATTTTACATTGTTTGATGCGTATTTCGTTTGTCTTGCATTTGACATCTCTCCCTCAAAACCTAATCACAGGAAATTGATTTCACAGATTTTAAACAAAAAAAAAAAGTAATTAAAATGAGAAATTGCAGATCTCCAATGGCTAACAATGGAGATTTTTGGGAAGGTGGTCTATTTAATGAAGAAGCTAATTCAAATTGGGAATGCCACATGGCATTTTAACATTGGTTGGATGTTTTTTTTTATTCCTTGACGCGCCCAACCTGCGTGACAACACTGATGGGTTTGAAACGGGTCAAAATGATGTATTTATTGTGCTTTTGGATGGTTTCGTGGGGTAATAGGACCCCCGCAAACTTAAGATGTCTACTTAAAAAAAAGGGTACAAGTTCCATGGGATAATTATGTATTTCCTCAATTAAGATATAAGTAATTTTTTTAATCCTAATAATTAATTTTTTAAAAAAGTATATATAAAATTTGTAGTCAAAACTATAGTTTTTAGGGAAAAGAGTCTGAAAAATACTCCAACTTTGACCAAAATCGTTGTTACGATATCAAACTTTATGGAAGACCTTTAATACCCTTGCATTATTTAATAGTGTATTTATAATTATGCAATATTTATAATGTCCACGTGCACATATATATACCTTTAAAATACACTATTAAATAGTGTAGGAGGGTAAAAGGTTATTTCCAAAGTTTGGTATCATTACTGCAATTTCGGTCAAAATTCGAATATATTTCAGACTCTTTTCCCTAGTTTTTATTTATGATTTCTTAAGAAACGTGTCAGGAAAGTAGACAAACAAAATATTTATTAAATTTCACCTAGCTTGAATTTTAAGAATAAAAAATATCATATAAATTGACGGAAAGAATATGTATTTATGTAGGTGTTTATGAATGCTTTTTATTTTTGAATTTCAAGAAAATAGTATCAAAACTTATGTAATTGTTTGTCAAGATCATTGATCCTCTTTTCGTTATATTTTCTGAAGAGTATTTGATGGATTTAAGTGTTTTTGGAAACATGAAATTGTTGAGAGAAGAATAAAAGAACAAATTAGTTTTATACCTCTTTTTTTATATTAATAGTCTACATTTTTTTTACAAAATTCTTAAGAAATTATAAATAAAATATTAATTTTACTAATTTGCACCTTTATTTTTTTAACTTTATAAATTTTATTTACACTTCCAAAAGGAATTAATTATTATAATAAAATTAAAAATTATAATTAATTATATCTTAATTCGTAAATTAACAAATAATTTTATATTACTATTTTTAGCAGTTTAAATTATTAATATCAAAATGGAAAAATAATATCACCATGTTAGAAGCAGAATGAAAAGTTATTAAAGAATAGAAGTGCAAAATTTAGAACAATGGTTGGAAAAGAAACAAAGAAAAAAAAAAGTAAAAAGTAAGAGAGAGGGAAAAAAAACTTTATAAGGAAAGAGAGAGAAAGGATAGTTTGGGTCATTTTCTGAAATGGGATTCAATTATCCACTTGTCAAAATATAAGTGGAGCCTCATACAAGTTTTGTCTGCCATGTCATATATATGCCTTATGCATAATAAAAAATTTCGTCGGTAATGACTTATAAACCCAGCCTCGATTTTCGCAATATTGACGTCGGAATATCAAAAGGTTAGGTCCTAATTTTTTGCCAAAATTCTCGAAACTTCAATCCATTAACATAGAGGAGCACTGGAGGGATCACACTAAAATGATGGCAGCAGCGAGTACATGCATCCAGGATGGTTCGCTTTTGGTAAACGGTAAGACTCTGTTGACCGGAGTCCCCTTTAACGTCAAAGTTTCTCCGGTGGAATCTTCGGCTGCTTTCTTCTTTGGTGCAACTTCATCCATACCCAGCTCTAGACACGTCTTTTCTCTTGGGGTGCTTCAGTAAGTCCTCTGCTTTTTTTACGCCAATTCCCTTCCTATTTTCTAGTGGAAGAAAATTTAAGCCGAGGCAGGTTTTGAATTATGGTTGATTCCAGGTGCAAAGTTCACTCTGTCTTGGATCTAGAATATGTTTCTACTTGATTGAAAAACTCCAATTAAAATAAGGATGGTGCTTAATAAATATCTCACTATTGACTTTTGAGAGTGCTATCTCATTGGTTAAGTTCATGTTTGGCTAGTCTCATAGGTCAGTAGGGTCCTGATATTTTCCTTTGTGGAAATTGCAGGAAATTCCAGTTCTTGTGTCTCTTCAGACATAAAATTTGGTGGATGATACCACGTGTAGGGAAATTAGCCTGTGAAATCCCAATGGAAACGCAAATGCTTCTCTTGGAAGTGAAGGAAAAGAGTGCACTCTGCGACCGAGATTCTTTGCCTTTATCTAATGAGAAAACCTTCTATGTTTTGCTATTGCCTGTCTTAGAAGGATCATTTAGAGCTACATTGCAAGGGGCACGTTCAAATGAGCTTCAGATATGCGTTGAAAGTGGTAAACTGAGCCAACCTTTTTCATATGTCCTCATGATATAATATGAATTATTGATCAAATAACTATTTTTGTTTTAGGCGATGCAAATGTGCAAACCACCAATGTGTCTGAGGTAGTTTTCATGAATTCAGGAGACAACCCATTTAAGCTGATAAAGGATTCTATCAAGTAGGTCATATTCAGAAAGACTGATGATTGCCTCTTACAAGTCAATAGTAGCTTGAAGCTTAAAGTAGAATATCTTCTATTTTATATTATTTTGCAGGATACTTGAGAATCATATGGGAACATTTAAGCATATTGACAACAAAAAGGTACTGGAGTTATAGATGAGCATTTGCTGTGATAGTTGCAATAGGCCAGTAGCTCTTTTGCAGGGTTGACGTGCTATTCTTCTCAGGTGCCAGGACATTTAGATTGGTTTGGATGGTGTACGTGGGATGCTTTCTACACGGATGTCAATCCACAGGGGATTAAAGAAGGTCTTGAAAGGTACAATATTGAAGTCAAATTTGTGAATGAATCAGATGATGTTTTCTGTGCCTGCCCCTTCTTTTACATGCCATCATTCTCTTCTCCACTCAGGTTTATGGAAGGAGGCTGTCCACCGAGATTTTTGATTATTGATGATGGCTGGCAAGAGACATATAACGATTTCCAAAAGGAAGGAGAACCATTTGTTGAAGGATCACAGTGTGTTCTCCTATATATCAGATAGTTTTTTTTGGTCGTAATATGGTTGCTATTTATTCAATTTTTAAGTTCCCTTTTTGTCAATGTGGTCACAGGTTTGCATCTAGATTAACTGACATCAAGGAGAATGGTAAATTTAGGGGATTGAAACAGGACATTCCATGCTATGACCTCCAGGAGTTCACAAATTTCATAAAAGAAAGTTATGGATTAAAGTGAGTCTAGGGTCCAACAAGTGTTTATTGTTCTCTTGATGGAAACTGGGGAAACTCTGTAAATTCATACAGTTTGCAATTTTGAAGCACTTTCCTTTATGTAGATTTGTATATGTCTGGCATGCTTTGCTTGGTTACTGGGGAGGGCTGCATCCGTCATCTGAAACTATGAGGAAATACAACCCAAAGATTGAGTATCCAATTCAATCACCTGGTAACACAGGAAATCTTCGAGATATAGCTATGGACAGCTTGGAAAAATTTGGAGTTGGTGTAATCGATCCCCAGAGGATTTTTGATTTTTACAATGATCTTCATAGTTATCTTGCAAGCTGTGGTGTAGATGGAGTAAAAGTAGATGTGCAGACTCTTTTAGAAACCTTAGGGTTTGGACATGGGGGTCGTGTTGCACTTACTGGGCGTTACCAAGAAGCTCTTGAGGAATCTATTGCGAGAAACTTTGGAGCAGACAACCTAATTTGCTGTATGAATCACAACTCTGACTCCTTCTACAGGTGAGTAATCTTCGGTTGAAATTGCTATGCAAGGTATGGATGAAGTTATTGTATTGATAATAGTTTCTGATTGAGAAGTGAACTGTCAGCTCAAAGAGGAGTGCAGTTGCAAGAGCGTCGGAGGATTTCATGCCCAGGGATCCTACTTGTCAAACACTACATATTGCTTCTGTTGCATTTAACAGTCTTCTTATGGGGGAGATTGTGGTTCCAGATTGGGACATGTTCCAGGTATGGTATCATCAGTATAATGTGAGTGAAAAGTGACGATGGTTTGGCGTATACTATCTTTGGTTGAGTACAGTCATGCTGCTAAATGACTTAAACTTTGTCTATAAAATGTGGAAACAATTTATGCTTAAGCATTGCTGATGACTAGGTTGCTTTGATCAGATCTTATTGCTTCCGTGTTTGATCATAGAAAAAAACTTTAGCTTAGAAAACGTACTCATTTGATCACAAAACAAAAGGCTTGAGCTTAGAAGAACTAACTGTTCTGTTTATGTAGAGCAAGCACTTCACAGCTAAATTCCACGGTGCTGCAAGAGCATTAAGTGGGTCTACAGTGTATGTTAGGTGAGAGGTCCTATTACACTATGCAGTACAACATTCTTTTCTATGACCAGAACTTCAGCATTACTATTTAAATGAGATCTTATTGCAATTTGATATGTTGTGACAATCTCTTCAGTGATGAGCCAGGTCACCACGATTTTGAACTACTTAAGAAGCTAGTTTTGCCTGATGGCTCAATCCTAAGAGCTAGATGTTCTGGGCGGCCAACGCGAGACTGCTTATTTATAGACCCCGTCATGGATGGGAAAAAGTAAGATGCATTTCCGTACTTTTATCAGTAATTTCTAAGGGATGTTTCCCGCACACACTAGAAGGTCACAGGGACTTCTTAGTGGCTTCGGAGAGAGGGAGCTCCTACAGCTGAAATATTGAAACTGCAATGTTTAATGACACTATTAACCTTGACCTGTTGCAGCTTCTTGAAAATTTGGAATTTAAATAAGTTATCCGGTGTAATTGGTGCTTTTAATTGTCAAGGAGCTGGAAATTGGCCACTGAAGGAAGGATCTGAGAACATCCTTGCCTCGACTTCGAAGCCTCTAACCATCACTGGCCATATCAGCCCTCTTGACATTGACTATATTGGGGATATTGCTGGTGATGATTGGACTGGGGATTGTGCCATCTATGCATTTAACTCAGGTAGTCTTATGATAACTTAAAGTATAACAGCTTTTGCGTCCCTACAAAATTTAATCTGTTTTGCAAAGCGAAAATCCTGTAACTGACCATTTAGCTTATCTCGTTGAGTTGTTGTTAGGCTCTCTTTCTAGATTGCCAAAAGAAGGGAAAATCCAAGTCTCGTTAAGTACACTTGAATGTGAAGTATTTACCATCTCTCCAGTGAAGGTATGTCAACTGTCTGCAATATATTTGAGGTTTTGGAACATTCTCTGCTAAGGGGAGCTCTTTAATATCAAATGAAATGTCATGTGTACAGGTTTATAACAGTCATCATTTTGCTCCTATTGGATTGATTGACATGTACAACTCTGGTGGAGCTATAGAGGGTCTTCTTTGCAGCCAGCTTCCATCAGGATGCAAGATACAAATTAAAACACGAGGCTGTGGCCGATTTGGAGCCTATTCTAGCTCTAAACCAAGCTACTGTACAGTGAAGGGTGAGGAAACAAAATTCAACTACAACACTGAAGATGGACTGCTAATTATTCATCTTGAAGGTGATTGTGATGCTAGGGAAATTGATGTTGTCTATTAAGCCTCTTTGAAGTGGACATCAGATTATTTATTCTCTTTATTGTACCTTCGCTTTTTATTTTATTTTTCGAAGGAAATAAACTTAGACTTTTGTGCAGTTACGTCCATCTAACACCTCTAGTTTCTACTCGATAAAGATTACTACTCGATAATCTAGTACATGAACTAGAGCCGGACTCAAAACTTGATATATATGACTATGAAAAAGGACTAATCACTTGCTGTACAGGCAATAAAAAAAACAATTAAACAAAATCAGCCGTATGTATATAAAATGAATCAATATTATATAAATAGTGTATAATCGTGTATATGATGTATAAGTATGTATCAGAGATGTATATACATCCATATACGTTGTTTATACATTTTTTTCAGTCACGACCAACTCAAATCTCTTCTAAGCAATCCTAAATATTAGATATGAGTTTCTCTCGATGTTTCAAGTCTTTTCATATATTATTCACGCAAAACGATTCACGTTTGTGGCATGTCGAATTTTAAATGAGCTTTGAAGAAACTTTAATAGCGAATTGAGCTATTAATCTTTATCAACTCAAAATTTTAGATATGAACTCCTATATTTCAAGTCTTTTGATATATTATTCACTTGAAATGGTTCACGTTTATCGAATTTTAAAATTGAACTTTGAAACAGCTTTAACGGTTTAACATGAAAGAAGAAGAAAGGAGGAGGAATGAAGAAGGAAAGCACCGAAGAAAGAAGGAAGGGAGGAGTGGTTGATGAATTGATATTACACATTGCATTGGAGCGAGGTGGATGAAATGGAGACTCGCATCTAGTGTCTCTTGTGAAAAGAATGTGTCACTTAGACTTAACGGTAAGTTCTATAAAGTTGTTCCTCAACCAACTATATATATTGTATGACGCAGAGGTAAAGAAGTTGATAATGTTGATATGAATGTGGGGGCGGGATAAAGTTAGAAACAAAGACATCTGTTACAAGGAGATGCGACCTTCATTATGGATAAGATGATGGAATTGAGGCTGAGATGGTTTGAGCATGTGAGAAGGCAATGCATATGCCCCAATATCGAGGTGTGAGAGTTGGCTATGATGGCGATAAGGAGAGAAAATATAGGCCAAAAAGTATTAGAAAAAAGTAATTAGACATAACATGACACCTCTTCTTTTTACTGAGATCATGATTCCATGGGAAAGCACACGAAGATCGAGAATTAGGATATAAGATTAGTAGACAGTTGAGCGCGTCTGAATTTTCATATAAAACTAATTATTATAATCTTCAATTATAAACTCTTTTAATTTGCTAAAATTGACTAATAGCATGAAATATCTATTTTTGATGTTGGAACATCTTTTGAGTGCCCTAATCTTGTTTTGGTTTCAACTTTTACCTTTTCAAATATAGTTCACATTAGTCATTATTGGGAGAGAGAAAAAATACTCGATGAAATAACGTTCACTAATCACTTTCGACCAATCTTGGAAAAATAAACATAATTTGAAATTTTCAAATATTACAAGACAATGGCAATGTTGAATTTTATTATTTTTTTTTAAAAAAAAATTGTGAAATTTAAAATCCTAAGATAATGGAGTAGTTCATGTATTGAAGAAAGAAGTGCTGCCTACATATTTGGGGCCTGAGGGAGAAAATCTCAAAGTAACTAGGACCATCCGCCGGCTTCAAAACCTCTGCTCTCTCTACTCCACCTTATCTTCTTTCCTCCTCATAAACCCCTTTTCTTCCTTCACTCTACCCTAGAGATAATACCACCAATGTCTTCTCTTACCAAACCCTTAATCAAGAATTTATCCATGGCGACCAATTCTTGCCTTATCTCTCTTCCTTCCTTCTTCACCACCACCAAATCCATGTCTTTTATCTCAACCCCATTAAAACCCATCTCCCTTTCTTCCTCATTCTCCTCTTCATCTTCTTTTTTATCTCTTAAAAAGACAACTACCCAATTCCCATCTATTGTTTCTGTAGTGGCTGCTCAGCAAGATGATGACAGCAGTGTTGGCCTTGAAGATAAAGAACAAGGTGGGGAATCGCTTAGCTTTGATTTTGCAAGTGTTGGTGATGCAGGGGAGAGTGATGAGGCTGAGGCCGAGGCGGAGGAGTACGAAGAACCTCCGGAAGATGCGAAATTGTTTGTTGGGAATTTACCCTATGATATAGATAGTGAGGGGTTGGCTCAACTTTTTCAACAGGCTGGTGTTGTTGAGATTGCTGAGGTAACAATGCCCCAATTTCATTGTCAAGTTTGAACCTTTTTTTTCAAAATAGTGAAAAATTAGAGATTCAGGTATCAGGTTGTACTGAATTTTGGTTTTGCAGGTCATTTACAATAGGGAGACTGATAGGAGTCGTGGATTCGGGTTTGTGACAATGAGCACTGTGGAAGAAGCTGAAAAAGCTGTAGTACTGTACAACCGTTATGTGAGTTACAATGGTTCTTTTTCTTTGATGTTTGTAACAGTTATGTTGAATTGTTGGATTTTGCTATCAAAAGTTGGACTTGAAGATGCTTTCTATTAGATATAAGACATTTATTCTTTTTGTTGCTGCAAATAAGAACCCCTCCCCATTTTTGGCTACTAAGAAACAATGTACGTTAACTCTATATTTGTAGATTCAATCGAGGCTCAAGAGTCCTTTTGCCTCTAAGTTGTTTTGATTCTCTAATATCATGTACAATGTGAGGAAATTTTCTTTATCCACTTGCTTATAAAATTTCAATGGAACTTAAATATCTAGAGTAAAGGTTCATGAAACAAGTATTTGCAGTTAAAGGTGAGTTTTTTGAAAGGAAGGATGATTTTGATATCCATCCATTAAGGTTGTGAAGAATTGTTGTGAATGATTTTATGACATTATCTCCACAAGTAAAATATTTTTTTTATGATAGTTACCTAATACATGACCAGAAGTAAAAGCATTCTGAGCTCACTACTGAAGGAAGGAAGCTGAGCTTGTTGGCTGAAATGCTTCCTTCCACTTTCTTGGTTTGCTTCTTGTGTTGATAGCATGTGTAGAGAATATTCACACTTGATTAGCAATCTATCAACTACTGAAGGCATAGTTGATTGATTAATAACTTGTCCCAATCAAGAGGCTGTTCCCTCTGGAAACTAGGGAGAAGGTAAAGGGCTTCCATAGTAGCTCTGAAGCAAGAGAATAGGAGTGGCTTCTGCACTGTTGTCGCCCCTCCATGGATGAGCATGAGCAAGAGAGGAAGTAGAGAGGGAAGGGCTGGTTTGTCCTTTTACCAACTTACTATTTAGTGTGTGTGTTTGACTGAATGTGCTGGTCACTTCAGAGTGAATGTTAATAATAGAATCTGATGTTTTCCATGTGCTATTCCCTTGAGCTGTCCCTTTAGAAAAGACCTGTCACATGATTCAGATATTTCATAGTTATGATGTGTGACACATGGATACGTTGGCATGTTACTGAAACTCTTCCTAATTTTCTATTTTATTTGGCTAGGATCTCAATGGAAGGCTCTTGACAGTCAACAAAGCTGCTCGAAGAGGATCACAGCCAGAACGTCCACCTCGAACATTTCAGCCTACTTACAGAATCTATGTTGGCAACATCCCATGGGACATTGATGATGCACGCCTTGAGCAAGTCTTCAGTGAACATGGTAAAGTAGTAAGTGCCCGGGTGGTTTATGACAGAGAGTCTGGACGGTCACGAGGCTTTGGTTTTGTGACGATGTCAAGTGAAGCTGAGATGAGTGAAGCAATAGCCAACCTTGATGGACAGGTGATGTGCACACATATTATGACACTCACACACATGCATGATAGGAATTGATCATTGCTTGAGTCCTTTAGTCCATCCATGAGTTTGATTCTAAATGCTTCGACACCTTTTAACCATTAATATGAAAAAAGAAAAAAGTTACATCTCTTTTCTAGATTTTTAATGATAGATCAACTTTTTTCTTAAGAATTTGGATTAGTTTTCTATGATAAATTGCAAAGTGACTGCGATCTAGATGTTTAACTAACGTCAGGTTACTCTCTAATTTACTAGATATCTATCCTGATTCTGATATCCCTATAATCTGAATCTTATAAGAGAGGAAGAGAACTACCAACATGTGCTTCCATACTGGTGATGAAACCAAATTTATGCTTTATAAATTTCTAACTCTTTAATTTATTTGTAATGGTATGCAGTCTTTGTGCACTTATTTTATATAATTGGCATTGTACAGGAGTAGACTATACATGCTAACTTTTCAAATATGAGAATATATTTTATAAAACCTGTGTTTGTAAATTGGTATCTTATAGATATTGTATTCTGTGGCTAGAGGCCAAGTTTAAATTGGTAGCCAATGTCATCTTGAAGTACCAACGATGTCTAGATTCACTATTATCCCACCCCCAGTGAAAAGAAAACAAAAAAGAAGAAGAAAATTAAGATGTTTAAGAGTCTAACAAATGAGATTCGTACACTCTGGTATCATTTGTTTACTGCATCACTTGAAATAAACTGTAGTACTGTACCGATTTTTCTTTAGTGTCGAGTGTTTGGTTGTCATTTTTGGTATCCGTAACACAAATCCCACATTAGTTAGTTTGTACTTCCCCCACTATTAATGCAAACTGCGTATGCCCCCACCTTCCCCAAACCCCATTTATGGGCTCACATTGGGTATGTTGTTTATTTGTTAGTGGAACATATGTAAGAGCATAAAATGACTAAAATGGTTGTTATAGTATTACTTGCTTAGTTAAGCTATTTCTTGTAATCTGATAGTAGTTTCTAATAATTCTTGTAATACACTGGTATTACTTTTAAAATTAGAAGAAAGTAATTCTTCGACTCTGGGTGAACTTTAATTATAGCTAACCTGGTGGGTTTTGCTTCAAGAGAAAGCCTAACTTTACTTTGGGTTGGCATTCTTCTTTGGAAAGAGAAGTTGCTTGGCTTACCACACCAATCACCTTAGCGATGGACGTTTTAGCAATGAAAGCTAGACAGAAAAATATTATATATCAGTTACATATTCATTAGATGAGAGATTGTGGATCTGTTTCATAGTGACAACAACTGAGTTGGTATCTTCAATTTTTGATATGATTAACTAATCTGATAAGAAATGCAAATATATGATGATGATTATCAAGTTCATTATAATTCAAGTATTATGATACCTGATGTGACTTGTTCACGGAACAAATGACCTCTCTTTGTATTGTTTGCTTAATACAGATGTTGAACAGTTAGTTACTTGGTTGATGGTTATTCTCTTTGATGGATTCATGTTAGGCATATATTTTCTTTCGAGATCTTTGATCTTGAAGCTAATAGTTTCTCTTCATTGTTGTATTTCAGACTTTGGACGGGAGGACGATCAGGGTAAATGCTGCTGAAGAAAGACCTAGGCGCAACACGTTTTGATTTTGATCACATGTTTTATTGTTCGATTGGCGTAGTAGTGACAGTTCTGCAGCTATGAGCAGTTAGATTTTCATCAAACGTCTTTAATTTGGCTCTCTACTTGTAAGTTTTTATTTGTTGATTACTTATATAGGGCACGGCGACTTTTTTTTTTGTTCTTTCTTCTGCTCTTGCCCTTTGGAAACTCTGTGGTAGAGGATTGAATGCTGTAAGATTTTGAATTCTATTTGTGGTAGTACTCATTTGCCGTTAGCTTTACACCTTCATGTTGCTAGAACTTATTCAGAATGGATAGGAAGCTTTACTATGATCAAGAGATCTGGTGTCCTAATTAAGCTAGTCGTCCAATGTTATATATATTGGTATGACATCATATGCAAAATAGAAAAGCATTGTAAATTGTTTTACTGGTGTTCTGATTCAGGATCTCACACCTTCACATTAATCCAATGATGCATGCCATGTGTATGAATATACATAATATATATTCACAACATTATATCACTTTAGTACTTTAAGGAGCATCAGTTTGGTGTCAACACAACACCCGGTGCAAGTAAAAGGATAGCCATATATATATAGTATATAGGTACTATAGTAGTGTACGGTTAAGCAGGTAAGCAAAGGCGAAAAGCTCTCTCTCTCTCTGTTGTCATGTGTATTTACTACTCTAATGCATCGATGCTGGGATTAAATATAGCAATCTAATGTTGCATTCCTAAACTAAATTCAATATCAGTATTATCTCCAGTAACACATGTAACCATCCGATTCCTTTTGCTAGACAAGAAATATATTACCGACAAGGAAGAGAGAGGCGATAGCTTGTAGAGCAGGTTCTACAAGATAGAATTTGCATGGAATTAAATACAGAACCATTTAGATCGTTCATTCTTTACAGGCTAAGAGGTGTGAAACTGTACAAAACATCAAACTGAAGTGCCACCTGCCACACAAGTGAGGAACCAACATCGCCAGAAACAACCAGCTTTATGTGCCCTTTATCTGTGCTTTCTCAACTAGTCAGTGCCCTTCATTTGTGCTTCTCGACTAGTCAGTGGAACATAACGGACAGAAGTCTCACTTCGAACACTTATTGAACCATCCATTTTTTTGTCTATAACCTTGAGGTCTTGAAAAAAAGTACCCACTGGAATCACCATCCTTCCCCCAGGCTTTAACTGGTCAATGAGATCCTGTGGAACATCAGCTGCAGCTGCTCCAACGTGAATAGCATCATAAGGTGCGTGCTCTGGCCAACCTTTCCTCCCGTCTGCAATGATGCACAAGTTACCAAAAACACTCGTTTGTCAACAGCCTCAAGAAAAGTCCCATGGTGGGAGCATGTCAGACTGGAAAGAGAAATAATATTAACCAGCCACCTATGAACACTACTTTGATACGGCGAGCGTCTTTTCTTTTTTTATGACAAGGGAAACACGCAGCCGCTATCCTCTGGGTGCGCATAGGGCAAAACTCCTACTCCTATGCAATAACTCACAAACCACATAGGAGAGGTAACCCACACTAGGCGAGCCCAGTGCGACGAGCTCGACCCAAAAGGCAAAATCCCTTGCTTTTGTTGGCAAGGAGTTTCGAACTTGAGACCTCCAACATAGAAGTCCCAAGCCCAAACCACTGGGCCACCCCGAAGGGTGATACGGCGAGCGTCTCCTGAACAAACTATATGAAAATGCTATAAAAACCATACCACCAACATGCAATGAGAGGGACCCTTCTTTTAATAAAGGAGCTGCTGCACTCTTTTCAACATTCTTGATTGACCACGCAACCAACTCTGGTATATGTTCCACACCAACAACTCGACCTTGTGGTCCAACCATCAGAGCAAAACATGCTGTGAGGTACCCCGTTCCTATATGAAACAAAAACCTATTAAGAAACTGACTGCTGCAACATAATTAGCTTTGACAAGAAAAGGTCATCCTTCATTCATTCAAACAATCAACTATACCTCAATTCAAATTGATAGGATTTAATTACTTACAACACAACAATAATATATTCTAAAAGCTTATCAGTATCTCCTAAAATTTTCCATGTGAGAGAATAAATATCCATCAAGTAACAATGGCATGAAAGTCCCAAAACATGCAAACTGCACATTCGTTTAATTTATTCAGTTCTCTCTCCAAAACTCCAACTAAGAATTACGATTATGGAGGACAATTATACTAGTGAGAAAGCTCCCGCTCCCTTGACCACAAACCTCCTCATTACATAAAAATAACTTCTCAAAAGCTCATGACGAATGAAACTTCCTCTTATAGCTAATACAGGAAGAACTTGTACAAAAAAAAAAAGTACAGAAAGACCAACTCTTCATTCAAGACCAAAACAGAAACAAGCAAAGACAGTTCAACATTATCCTCTTCCTCTAACCAAACCCTAGATTTGATTCTTCCACTTCTATCTAAATTTGTCCCATCAAATATCCAACGATTATTAAGATTTATACACCAAACTAACACAAACTATTAACTGTTACCTGGAAAGGCCAATCACGTGGAACATTTTGATAAAGAACAATCATGTGAAACATTTAACATCCTTCTGGAAATATTATTTCCACATTGGATTAGAAATTATTTTTAACAATAAGATTCATGGATCTCATAGCACAAGTGTAGAGTTGATACTACACCAAACTGTTATGCTTGCTGCTAGATGGCATCCGTTTGACATGCAACCACAAACAAGGAACTTGGAAAACGAGAGGAAAAAGCTGTGCAGCAAAAATGGTTCACTTTCTCAATCCAATGATGGTGGTGATACATCTCACAAGATGGTGTTGATACATGCTCACAAGACAAAGGTTAATACCTCAGGAAAACAGAAACAACCTTATCTAAAATATTGAGAACCAACAAGCTGCTATCTAATCACTCACTGAATGCGAGCACATTTGTCATTTCTGATTATCAACCGACATGAAAAACCAGGCAAGTTATAAGAATGACCCAACAAGAGAGCTCTATAAATAGCATCTCACTTATCCCTGTGAAAGCACAATTCAATCATAACTTGGGCAGCGTTTTCTGAGTAGAATCAAAATCTATCCTAAGATGCCAAATTGGACAAATGGAATTTGAACTAATAAATATGTGATTCTGAATTAGTTTGCAGAAACGAGTGAGCTCAATATATAATTACCTGAACCAACATCAAGAGCATGCATGCCAGGCTGCAACCTGTCCTCCAATAATTCAAGACACATAGCATGCATATGAGGTGCTGAGATAGTGGCATTGTAACCTATACTCATGGGGCTATCAACGTAAGCAGGAGTACCCTCAGGTACAAACAAACCCCTATCTACAGTTTCCATTATTTCTGTTACTTTCTGTGATTTTATGACTCCATATCTTCGCAACTGCTCAGTCATTCCCTTGTTTCTGTTAACGGCACTTCCACTCCAAAATTGCTGTTGATAAACATAAAACAAGATTGAAATAAGAGATAACAAATATGCCCATCTGGTGACCTGCTCAAGGTTGACCGGAAAGCAGAAAAAGATGCACAGCTATTAAACCATTTGAATTATGTGACAAACAAATAAAAGATGATGTAAGATTTTATTCATAGAGGTAGATAGATAAAATAATGTATCAGCCTATCAGGAAAATTTACTTGCTAGGATGTCCAAGAGTATGACAAATAACTAGTTATCCAGGCACCCCAATCTACCCTTTCTACTCCCTTTCTCACTGATGTTTGAAGAAAAACTCAATTTAAAAAATTCACAGGTATCTCTCCTAGGACATTCTTTAGATTGTGCTCTCATTTAGGAACACTCTCACAATCCAGTACGATATAATAGCCAAAAGGATGTGAGCTTTAATGCATGGACGCCAAGCTGAGCTAGGGAGTTCAAAGATTGTCATCAAGACACTACTTTAGAGTCTTAGAGGGTGCTTGGAGTGAAGGTTTGAAGGCCAACGACATGCTCAAACACTTAAAAGAACTCACTTACAACATGAGATGCGGAGCCCAAATGAGACCACAAGTAGTGTAATGCGGCCACATGTTAGTCTCATCTAGCTTGAACTTTGAGGGCTCACTATTTTAGGGTTGCGGAGTACTTGTGTTCGCAAGTCAAGGGATGCGGCATGGCATGGAATGGCATGTCCATCACAAACTCCAGAAGCAGTCTGTTTGGGGCTGTTTTCTGCAAATTAATTTGAGTGCCACTTTTGGGCATTTATGTAATAGCTAGCCTAGACTATATAAATAAGTGAGTAACTCATTTAGACTGTGAAATTCGATATGATATGACTTTGAAGAGTGAAACTCTTTCTCAAGAGTAGGCTATGGTGTTTGTTGCTAGACAATGTTGATGTGATTGCTTGCTTGAGGAAGCATTCCTCTTGAGGTTTATCTTAGTGATAGATTGTTTGTTATCTTATAGATTTGGTGCTTGTCTTTAAATTCTTAATAAAAAATTTGGTTTTAATATAGTCATTATTATCTATTAGTTCCTTGCTTGAGTGTTTCTTCTATCTTTTATTTCTTGTTCTTAGATTTAGGGTTTCCTTACATCAGGCTTGTCCAACCAAATGATTATGTGGAGATTGACTATTCCACTTCAAGCTGTTTACTGCTACTAATTTTTCTTTCCATTCACTGTGGAGAAATTCACAATCACAACAGAATAGCAGGAAATGAATCATTTGAAACCAGTAAACAAAAACAAAACAATTAGAAATTATGAAATACATATGAAATTACTTGTCTCTGTAAGCACACGAGGTGCCGAAAAATAACAAACAGATAGAAAGAGTACCTCCATTCGAGAGAAGAGAGAGTTTCCCGTGAAGAAACTGGGATTTAGGACACGGCAAAAGGATGAAGAGAAGAGAGGCAAGGTGGGAGGTTTTTGGCGATGAAAACTATGGAGTTGGTGGGCGTATAATAGACAAGTGTGCTTTAAAGGCGCACGGTAGCGGAAACCATACGCTATAGCTGACACAGAATGTAAGGATATTGAAGACGGCATTTTTCACTCTCGCTGCTTCTCGATCCTTTAATTTGGCATTCTCCTCTTTCTTACTCACGCTTCTCTTCCCACGTGTCTTTTTTTTCCCTGTTTTTATTTTACTTCTAATTGGGCCTTCAATTAGTATGGGCCTT